TACATTTAATAAAAAAAAACCTTACTGTAATTACTGAGCTAGGTACAATGGATATTACAGCTGCTATGCATCAAGATAGATTAAATAATTCTGAACAACAAATAAGAACAAAAGGAAGAATTTTTCGATGGAAAATTGCATGCAATAAAATTTTTAATTTGACTAAACTAAATCCACAATCATTAAAATTTAAGACTGGAGATTATTATTATTATTGTGAAAATAAAAATTCTATTGTAATTGCAGAAATTATTGCTGTTTTTGAAGTAAGTTCTTTAAAATTTAATTGAATTTATTTTAAAATTTAATTAATTTTTTATATTATTTAAGAAATATGGATCAAGTTATATTCGTGTAGATTTATTAAATAGCATAAATGAAGGAAAGATTCATGCCCGTTTGTATAATTTGAAGTCTAATTTTGATCAAGAATTTGTTCCTATTATAAGTTCAAATTGTACACAATTTGTATGTGAGACTAATGTATTTCGTTTTATTGCACATTTGGGTTCTGTATCTGAAGAATATTGTGGTGATTCTTGCTGGTTAGAAAAAAAAGTAAAATTAGGAGATTTACAATACACAACATATTTTCATTTTGTTGAAAAATCTTGTGAACTTGAGCAGTCAATTAAGGAAGCAGAAAAAATAATGAAAGCACAAAAAAAAAATAATTTTGATAATTTGTAATTTTTTGTAATATTTAAAAATAGTACTACATATGAAATAAAGATAAAATTTTTATATTAAGCTTTAAAATTATTGTATTTTGCAAAATTATAAATGCTTTAAAAACTACTTATTATACTTCAAAAAAAACCTTCTATAGATCATAATATTGTATAAAAATTAAAGATTTTATAGATTTTAAGAATATTATCGATTTTAAATAAATATAAATTTAAAAATATAAATATAATTTATTAAACATTTGCTTATTTTTAAAATAATTTAATTTTAAACATTTATTATATCTTCGTCATACATTAATTTATTATTAATTAAAACTATGGCGTACACTTTATTATAAATTTAAAATTATTATTTAAAGATATATCATACATATAAACTATTACTTAAAGGTTTGTGTACATTTTATAATAAAATTTAATTGTACACTTATATAAAGTTTAAAGACAAAGGCTTTATATATATATAATATTAGTATTCAGGGGTCCTTTTGTGCCTTTGGGAGAGAAACAAGATCTACCTTAATAAATTGTCCTTGGGGTACTTTAAATATATTTTGAGAAGAACATTAAAGAGGTTGATAGTAAGGATTTTCTGTTTCGTCTTGTAGGAGGGTAAACTAGAAGAAGATAGTATACTTTAAATAATCTGTTGGTCTCAATTGCTGAAACTATAATCATCATCTAGTTGATGTTGTATGGAGAGTTCTAGGTTTTCAAAATATCTTTTGTATTGTTTTAGTTCTTCATATCCAAAATCATAAGCTAAATCGTTATAGTAGTCAAAGATATTTTAGTATTCAAAGTCGATAGTAGATAAGGCAGTAAGGTATATATACCTAATAAGTAATGCAAGAGCAATTTTTCTAAAATTTCCAATATCTTAGTTATATTGGCAGCTAAAAATAATATCTTGAATAAAGGTATAAATAGAGAATTGGTCTTGGGTTATAGTTAAATGTCCAAAATTTGTAATAGTTCTGGAGATATAGGAGTAAGCAGAATAGGTGTTGAAATACCAATTCCAAAATCTTCCAAAGTTGGTTTGATGAAAAGTGCAAGTACTAGTTCTTGGTGAAGGAAAGCAAGCTTGATAAGAGAGATCCAGGTTTAAAGCTTATAAAGTTGTATAAAGAAGAGCAAAGTTTTGGATATGTTTGTGTTTATGGTTTTCAATATATTCGTTGTGTAGTTGAGTAACTCTATCAGTCATAGAGTAAAGTTTAAAGCCTTATATCTGCAAGGCAAAATAGAAAAGATAATAATAATATTTCTTGAAATTAGATTCTTATGCCTACACTTTGGCTTGTGGAGAATCTTTCAATTGTCCTAGGATAATATCATCTAGACACCAGCTAAAATAACTAAAGTGGGAGTTGTCATCCACAATACTTAAATTCAATCTGAGATAACTATCCTCTGGTAAATTAAAAAAGGCCAGGATAATGTCATCTGGTAATGGTTTTAAAATGATTTCTACTAGGAGACACCAAATATTACAGCATTATGGCCTTCTTAACAGCAGTACTATAACAATAACATGGTTACAGATATCCTTCACAGGTTTATAGCAGTATCCAACAGATAAGTATAATTTCTACTTCTTTGAAAAACTATATCCTTCTGTCTGTGACAGTTTGGGCAAACAATAGTTTATAGATAAAATATATGTTTATTAAAGATAGATAAAATAGGCTATCCTTAGATTTCTATTCCTAAAGAATCCTATAATATTACAAGAGAAAATTTAGAGAAGAAAGAAGTCTGAGTTTAAGTTAGACAATAACAGGTCTCAACTAATCTAAGATGGACAGTAATAGGTCTAATATCAACTTAGGAAAATTTACAGCCTTTTTATATCTTTAGAGCTAATCGCTAAGTGTTAAGCGTTAAGGCTAATTGTTATACATATCTTTTAAATTCTTCTCTAAGTTAAATATAATAATAACTAATAACTAATAAAATACAAATATCGAATAATAAAATAATACTAAGATAAAATAATAAACTAAATAAATAAAACTGTTCTATAATACTACGTATGATATTCTATAAAAGCCTACATCTCAATCATTAATTAATATATTACTCAAAGTTAATAAACAATTATATGAAAAAATATAAAAACCATACTGTTTAAACTTCTCCAACTGGAAAAAATTAAATAAACTTAACTATCAATACTCAAATAAATCAAGTTCTCTAATATGATTTGATTCCTCTAGTTTTGAACAACAATCTGGTCTATTAAGTTCATCATAATCTACTACTACAACTCAATGCACACATTCAATATATACTTATTCTTGTATATGTAGAAAACCATATCAATTATATACCTACTCTAATAACTGTTTACTTGTTGATCAGGCTAGAAAAAAATATGACTTCTGGTCAGCTCAATGGACTAAATTACAGTACTTTATATAATTTTATCTCTTCTATTATAATCTAAGTAAGCTTTGACCACTCTAGTAGGTTTAGATTGCAGATAAATTAGTCTGAGCTTTTATTTTTGCAGTATAGTTTTTTTTTTAATTTGTATTCTTATAAATTATAGTAATAAATACACTAGCTGATTATTCAATCTGTGGTTACTATTACCCAATAAAATTATTAATAAAGATATGAACAAGATCTCACCTTAATACCAAAAAAAAAACAAATGGAACTTAATAAAGAAAT